GCGGCGCCGGCGCAGACACCCCGCGCGCGCCTAGTTCATTCCCGCCCAGACCTGCAGGGGGCGCGCCGCGGAGGACCTCGCCGGAGGTCCGCGGCGCCAGCGATCCAGAGCCCGAACCCGGCCCCGGCCTGGGCAGGGACCACGTCTCCGGCCCGGGCCTCCACCCCGACCCCGGCCGCGGCAGAAGTGCACGAGGTCTGCGGTCATCAGCGCCACAAGGAGCAGGCTGTACAGGCCCAGCGCTAGGAGAGGTCCCGGGCCTCTGCGGAGAGGGGAAGAGGGTCAGCAGGCTGGCCAGCGTGAGCTGCGCAGCCTGCAGCCCATACGGCCCCCGCGAGGCCCGAGATTAATAGAAATCCTGAAGCTCTCCGGGGGGGACTCAAGCATTAAAAACCAGACTTTAGTGTGCGTGAGGCCGTGCACAGCCAGCAAGGCCACCTCACACTCCACGCAGCCCTACACGTGCAGGGACCCTGTGTCACAGCGTTCTTCTGCTAATCTGTTAGCAACAAGCTTCCCCCTCCCAGAATTTCAAAACTGGGACCAGCCCATGGCGTTCCAGGGCTCCCAGCGGTTCTCACCTGAAGATGGGGGCGGGTGGAAGGGCAGACAGGTTCACCTGGTACAGGGCCTCGAATTCGTCCTGGGTGCAGCAAGAGCCCCCCGCAGCCTGCAGGTGGCAGCAGTAGGCTTCCTCGGGCGCATCAGAGAGCCGAGGGCAGAAGAAACCCGGGTAGTGGTGGCCATCAGCCTCCCTGGTGGTCTGGCACAAGTGGGGGTGGTGGGCCAGTGCTAGAAGAAGGGGCAAGGGGGCTGGAGACTGGCAGCAACGGTGCCCAAACCCCACCGACCCCTGCGGATCGGCCGTTATCACAACGGCAGCCCCCCTCCCCAGAGCAGCCGAGCCCCGCCAGGTGGGGATGTGGAGAATGCTGTACCTGAGAGGTCGGTGGGCTGGACAAGCGCCACCCCGCTGAGGAGTACCAGGAGCGCCACAGACAGGCCTGTCAGCAGAGGGCTCAGCCGCCTCTGGAAGCCCATGAGGGGTCACCTGCACCTCAGCCCTGGTCCCGGGAACCCCGACATCACTCGTCCTAAGCCATGGCTGCCGGCAGTGGGGACGCAAAGATCATAGCTCCACAGCCCTGGACACACGACCCGAGGCTTCTCCGTCACAGGCCTTGGGAGGGACCAGAGCAACTGAGTTTCTATCTTCTCTTGGAAAACGGGAGGCTCCAGCTTTCCGAGCTGGGGGAAAGGCTCAGGAGACCGAACCGGAGAGAAGTTGAGCTGTTAGCCCAGGACAGACACGCGTCTAGAGCCAGGTCTGACTCCCTCCGCCCACCGTCAGCTTCCAGGCTGGCAGGAGACCTGCGAGTCGGCCTCTCCAGTCCAGGCCCCTGGGGGCCTCAGCTCCACGTCTGGGGCTCCCGCCCCTCTGCCTCGGCAACCTCCAGGGCTAGCTGAAGCCAGGCGAGTCCCTCGCTCCCTTCTCCCTGAGCTCGAGTCCCTCTGCCACCGAGGCCGAGTTGCCTACCTGGGTGGAGGTTACTTAGCAGTGGCCAAACCCTCGCAGGGCAGCTCTGGCTGGCTCTCCCGCCGGGTGCGGTTACCCTCCCCGGGGCAGGGACTTTCTCTAGAAGGCGGAGGCCACCAGCAGTGCTGGTCTGGAGCCTGCCGCGTTCCCGCAGCCCGCGTGGGGCAGCCCTTCGCCGGTCACCAGGGACCGCAGTGGGTGCCTGGGGGGAGGGGAGCCCTTCAGCAAGGAAGAAACACCATCTTGTCCTGGTTTCTAGAGCGAGAAAGACAGTTCTTGTAGCAACATCACTGCAGCCCGGGAGCCCAAATCGAGGCAAGTCGGTGGAAATTTCCCGAGCTTAGCCCTGGGGCCTTCCAGGGCCCAAGGGTGAGGCTCCCAGCCTATAGCAGCCAGGTGCTGCCCTGCAGGGAGAACAGCAGGCTCCCAGGTTGCCAGCGCCGCCTGTCCCGGGAGCCCCGACATCCCTCCTAAGCCACGGCTGCAGACAGTGAGGAAATAGCTTCTCCAGAGCCAAGAGGCCTTCCCGCGGCGGCCAGGTGCGCCCTCTGGCACCTGCCCCCCCCCCC